CACACACACACACGATGCCAGACTATCGACATTTTCGATAAGGTATATATGAGCAGTCAATAATCACCACTTCTAGTAAATACCTTATCATTGAATTATTCCGTTTACAAAGCAGATATATAAAAACAATCTGTCTTCTCTACCATAATCTGATCGATCTACCTCCCGAAACCCTATTACCCAACCAATCCATTTCTAGTAAATTGTTCGGCATAAGGTGCTCTATCATGCTATTGTATTACCACTGAGATAGTTTCAATATACTGACACTTAAAGTGTCGCATGTAGTCGATCACTGAACTTATCTGTATTTCTGGTAACGATAACCTGTGCCTTACAGTGGCGATGGACAGATGAAGGGTTAAATTGACGTTTATCCCCTCGCCTTTAGTGGCATAAACTTGTTACATATCTGTGAAGCAGTCCTTCTCCTGTCAGTGTCCTGTGTTGGGATGAACTCATAAGGCAAATGGCTGCATGTTCGAAAGTTGATAAGTCGAGAGGCGTGAGTTCCCGAGAACAGACTCAGAATGTCCCAAATACATAGAGGCTGATGGAGATGGACATCGAGGCTTCAAGAACTATATGATCTACTGGGATAAGTGCTTCCTATTGTATGATCGATCATCTATCTGCGATGCTGCCCTGATCCGATTGCTCAGCCTAAAGATACAGACTATTGGAGAGGAGTCTTGTCATCTGGGTCAATGTCATGGGGTGTGTCTGTACACCAGATTCCGAAAATGAATTGACGGTTGTCTCCACCCAGTATACTCTCTAGGGGCCTTACAATGTAATACTGTCAACATTTAAGTGAATGTGTTGTACCCAATCCAATCAGGTTCTCAAAGCTTGACAACTGTTGATCTTCGGTCTTAAACATTCTTATCAGAAGATGTTTTTCTAAATGACCAGTTCTGAAGACTTTTTGTTGTTAATGAATAGGTACTAATTTGAATAAACACTTTAGCTAATTTGATAACTCTGTTTGGGTCAGGAAAAGAAAACTAGTGATTCTGGAGAAAAACAAATCATTTTTTATCGCTCTGACATAAAACTCTTCACATTCAATGATAATATTGTTAAAACTTTCCATCACTTTAAGGGTGAGCATAAGGCTACCCGACCTACCTTTGACTGTCACTGAGATAAGGAGGCCATCACAGAGCGAAGGGTCTACATTGTAAGTGTGGATGTGGATGCAAGGGGATTATGTGGTGTACACGTACACGTTTTTCACGAACGTTGAGCTGGTAACATGTCATAAATGAAGCTAGCAGCGAATGTATCTTTACGAGATGGATGACTTTTAATGGATTAAACGAATGTGTTACAATATTGGTTGTTGTATTTCTCGGCGTAACTCAAAGAGCGAAAGGAATTCAACAGTCACCACTTGCACCTTTCTGTATCTTATGAAAAGTGATCTTAGCGTTACCGTTGTCTTAAGTCTATGTTAAAGTAATGGCGTTATGACAGGCTTAGCGATCAGATGGCTTTGTGAAACGTGCCCCTTTGATCGATCCCCTTTCAATAGGCTCCGTAAATCGAAATGTCGAAGTATGGTAAGACTGCACCAATTTTTGTTTCCAAAAACCTGAAGGACAATTTATTATCTTCATTAAAATCCCTCGCGATTGGGGTTTGTCACGTCAGACATGGGGGAGATTGAACACATCACGTCAGCGTCTTTCGTCGCGTTAGAATAAAAGGGAGAGGTGGAATCCTTTCGTCACGTTAGAGTAAAGGGGAGGGGTGGAAATTCTTTCGTCACGTTAGAGTAAAGGGAGAGGTCGAAGTTCGTTCGTTACGTCAGAGTAAAGGGCAGGGGTAGAAATGCGTTCGTCACGTTATACTGAAGGAAGAGGTGGAAATTCGTTCGTCACGTTAGAGTAAAGGGAGAGGTCGAAGTTCGTTCGTTTCGTCAGAGTAAAGGGCAGGGGTAGAAATGCGTTCGGCACGTTATACTAAAGGGAGAGGTGGAAATTCGTTCGTCACGTTAGAGTAAAGGGAGAGGTCGAACTCACAGTAAAGGGAAGGGGAAGAAATGCGTTCGTCACGTCAAAATAACGGGACCTGGGAGAGATGGAAATTCGTTGTCATGTGTTAGTAACGGGAACATGGAAGAGGTGAAAATTCATTCATCCCGTTAGAGTAAAGGGAGAGATCGAAATGCGTTCGTCACGTTAAAGTAACGGGACATCGGAGAGATGGAAATTCGTGATTTTAACATTAAGCGATAGATATCTGGTTAGAAAAGGCACTCTTTCAATTAATAAATATCCCCTTTAGTTACCGAAATCAAAACCATTCTTCTGGTTGAAAATGGTCACCAGACTCTTCGAACAAGGTGACAACTATCAAGTAATATGCGCTTATTCACGTCTGGCGTTTCAATACCACTGCCACAGGCCTAGAAGGGTCAGTTCTGATGATGATGAGCGTCTAAAATGTATTAGATCTGTACAGGCAAAGACGTCCAGTTTGATTAATAGTACGCGAGTAACGTGGATCAGATCTACTGATGGCGAGATATCGTTATCGAAATATACTAGATGCTAGATAGGTTTAATCAGTCTCACAGGCAAAAGCGTTTGTGTTGCGTTGTGAAGACGCACGATGACAGTCGACTGACGGTAACTCACACTATTTGTCTATTTGTTAAACGAGGCAGATACATCCGTGACCGGCCTCTCCCCCGCGACCAGGGTCGGGGCAGCGAGCCCATCATTGAGTGATAGGTAGCCAAAGACCTAATTGATTCCAGCTAAGAAGCTGTTTCAATTACATGAACTTATTTCCCACGAAGTCCGGAGAATATCGACAACTTCCCCAGTCTCCCCAAAAGCCACGTTGGAACGTGACGGTGGACACATTATCACCCCGGTATTCTGTTAAACGATATCTGATAATATGGTGCTGTTTGCTCGTCCTTTTGTCCACCGCTCGGTATCAGCCATAGAGGATGATAATCTTGACAGAACATAGAGATACATGCCATCTTCAGTGGCTTCCAATCACTCCTGCTTGAGCTAAAACCTATCCCTGTCAGTGGCTCTTCGGGAGAGTAAGTGAGGTTTTACTTTGTGAATATTCCAGACATATGACGTCGGTGACCACCAAGAATATGCTGGAAACATACCTATTTTGATAATCGAACACAGGTATTCGGCCTGACGTGTCGACGCTTTATCCACCTGGCTACCCCGCCACCCCTTGTTGCCTCTTGGAATACTTGATTACACCTAGACCGTCCTAAAGTGGGACATAACAATCCCTTTGTTTGATATACTTGTATTGTATATTGTAGTTTGGGCTGGTGTCCATAATCTTCTACATGGCTGTGCCCCCTTGTAAATCAGCCCATTGTCACATAATCCTTACTTTATAATGGTTGATAAGATCCGAACTTGATGTTAATTGTTCAGCATATAGGTTCCAACAGAAGTATCTAAATAAGAGATACTTGTATTTAAAAGACAAATAGCAGATGAATCAAGATAGATTAAGAGGAGCAAGGAGGTATTTAAAAGATATAATGACAAGATTGAGTAATGTGTTTCTAAACTATGGGCGTGATGCTGTAGGCAACTTCAAATGCCTGGCAGACACGACTGAATGATGAGGTTCCTCTAGTGTAGAATCAACAGTAATCTTTTTGTTTGTTCCTTTATTTGATAGATGGCCAACCCACCGTAAGTAATGAGAATGAGGGAAAATGTAGTCCCGTGTTACACAATTGTACATCAGAGGAAACATTTTGAGGTTTTGAAAATGCTACCACGACTGATTTGATTACTTGATCTCCCAGAGGTAGGTTGTGGAAGCGAGTTACGACAGTGTGTAAACCATACGTGGCATTAATTGAATTTAGCTTTTTACTCTTGTTCAGCTGAGACTGTGAATCCAGCTACGGTTTATTTATATCTAAATATGACTCTGTCGAGTGCTCTTTACATATAGTATGGTGGAATGTACCACAACTAGTACCATCATTTAAGGTCTTTTGGTATGACGCGACCGGGGATAGAGCCCCCTACCATACGCTTTCCAGGCGGACGCTCTACAACTTGATCTTTATCTTCGAGAGATGTACATCAGTTTGAAAGGGATAAAAGGAAACATAATGATTGCATCAACAACACCATTAACACGACATCAAGGCATCCCGTGCTGAACCCGTGAAGATCCGGGATAGAATAGGTCTTCAGCAACCTAAACTTGCCGTAAAAGGCGACTATGCTTGTCATAACAGGCGACTAACGGGATCGGGTGGTCAGGCTCGCTGACTTGGTTGATGCACGTCATCGATCCCAATTGCGTGGATCGATGCTCATGATGTCAATAACTTGGTTGTCTGGTCAAGATTCGATTATTTACAGACCGCCGTCATATTGCTGGAATATTGCTGAGTGCGGCGTTAAATAACAAACAAATAAACAAACCACCATTCCGTGCTGAGTGCACAGTCATATAGTGCATGCCGAAGTTTTAAAGTTCTATATCTCCTCTCGTTGTCTGATGCACTAAGTATGTCCACTCTTTGCACAGGTCTCTGTCGAGTTACTAAATGAGATAAATATGTTATTTGCTGAAATATTATGTCTATTTTTGTAACGTACTATGCTGTTATATTTCAAGAACACAAAGAGAGAACATAGCGTGTGGCAATTAGGAAGACGTTCTCACTTTATAACGTAATTATTTGTCGAGACACCTTCACTATAAGACGTCATCCATGGTGTAGTGACGTCATTGCTTTCAAAGTTGCTTTCTATGTCAACACTAGTACTAGGCACCTTCTTACTCGATCATATTTCCCCTCCGATTTGGTCAAATGATCAAACGGCTTTCGTTTCACCTTTCACCCATACATATGAACAGATCTAGACGATTTCCGTTCCACCCTCTACTTCTCAAAGAAACAAACCACTTTGGTATCAATAACATTCATACCTATAAACTTTACCCCCCACCCCCAAGAGAAAACAGCTGGTGTTCAAAATCCTTTTAATACAACAGGCTGTGTCAAAATAGGGTAGTGTATCTTAAATTGCACTCTCGTCCATTACATGGTTTTCTAAGTCCTCGGAATCCATGAACGAATCGCTACTCCCTGCTGACGTCATCATGGCCTCCCTCGTGACAAGTCTTCCCCCGGACTGATACAGCTCGCCGTGGACGTCACACTGGGCACAGTTATCTTGGGTAATATCTTCATAGTACTCGTCATAGTCAGGGTCACATGTCAAGCCGTCCTCGGAGTCGGGATGTCCGACCAGCTCTGTGACAGAGTCCGTGTCAAACATGGGATTGTGTGATCCAGAAGTTCCGCACTGGGTGTTCGTGTAATCACGTATACTTACTTTGGTAAGTCTTTTCCTCTCTGACGTCAACAAACCGCGTGATGACGTCACACCTTAAAGCAGTGAATAATTTCTATACTCGCATTTCAACCAAGTAAGTGCTTTTAAATTCAATAAAGTCAAAAGGCCATGACAAATTCTACAAAGTTTCTCATGACTTGCAAAGGATTTTACTCTTTTGCGATCAATATTGTTCGGTTTTGTCCTGTTTAATGTTAGTTTTTTGAATGTCCGGATCAATTATTGAGCAAATATCTTTCTTCTCTTGGCTAGCTACATGTATACCGCCTTTGTTGCTACCGAATATATGCATCCGAACAAAACAAAGAAAATTCCTCGTGACCTCATCGCTTTGAAAATAAGGTTAAAAAAGAGAACTTGTTTTTCATGGTGATATCTTTTAACTCCTAGCCTAGGTTCTATCATGGAAAAATTGGTCGTCTATATGATAATGTATCTATCTGACAATACCTTTAAGTTCTTGAGTCTCTGGTGTCTTTGGCCTACAACAAACACAGATTTTCAGAATGATCTTCTTGTATCCCTCTCTGTAACTGTCTAGCAGCAGACCATACAGCAGAGGGTTCAACAAACCCGGAAGTGACGTAGCAAGCAGTCCATACATCATGGCGGCTTCACTGACATCCATGCCTGCCTTCTGAAATGTTAGCATGATCTGAAAACAAGAGGGCGCTCTGTTACATCTAGCTTACGTACCTTTACATATGCACTTTTATATGGATAACCATCACATCCGATTTGAAAATTCATTTCTGGAACGTCACCTATAATAATTTTACATGTGACGTCATCACAGTATCTCTTCAACCCCGTCTCTATCTGACGTCACCACTAGACCCTCTGATTCAACCCCGTCTCTATCTGGCGTCATCACCAGACCCTCTGGTTCAACCCCTGTCTCTTTCTGACGCCACCACCAGACCTTCTGGTTCAACCCTTGTCTCTGATGCTACCGAGGTCTCTCTTCGTCCGAGGATAGCACAAAGTGATTGGGGCAGGACATTTACCACTTCAGCATGGGTATAGTACTGAGCCACCAAGGATCTTAATCAGTGCAAGTCTTGAAAACGCGCTCAGTGAATCGTGGCATGCAGTTCTCCACAACTTCGGCGCTTCAGAATACTTGGTCATCAATGGCCCCATAAGAGAATACGATCCATCTGGGATACGCTGACATTGATCAAGCTTGTCATTATCGTTTTTTTACGATATATTCAAATTATGTATCTTTACAAGGAATCCACGCCAATCATAAAATCCTTTCAAAGTGATTGGACAGCGGCATACGAAGCAATTGCTAGGAGAAAAAACATATCAGTCTAAACAAAACAAAGAAACATAATCAATAATATGAACAGTCTTCTCGAATGTGGATGATTTAAGTTTGGAACTGTATTCTTCATTTACATATTTCCCGCTCTACATGTACCTCACACAAAGGTATTTGCCGTCATTCGACCAAAGAGCACACATGATAAACGAACTATGCTGTTACATTTGAATGACCATTTTGCCTGTATCTTAAACATAAATAGTACAACTGTTTATATGCTCCGCATAAATAGCACTGTCTATATGGTCTCGCATAATCTAAACAGATTCGGATCACACAAATGATATTGTTTATTGATCAACATTTCAATCAGGTCAATTCCAGTACTTTGAACATTGTCACATGTATGCCTATGTCAGAAAGAGATCGTCCTTACCGTGACATCGAACTGGAGACCGCTTTTTGTTGTATGGGCAAGATGTTTGAAAGAGGTATTTCTACACACATGTAGGGCATGTGGCCTCAGAAACGTTTGTTGCATGAATACCATCATTCTTTAAAGCAGTTATTCAACTAGACATTAACTGATTGGGTTGTACAGCCATGTCTGAAACTCAACTGAGAAGGACGGCCACTTTAAATACTGTATGCTGCCACATGAAACCTGCAAATTAATCCGTAGTTCTGATTTTAATACTGAATGTGTATGCCCTTTCAGTGTAGTTTATATAATTAGAAAGATGTATCTGCTAGTAAGTGCTTTTTATTTCATTATTTTTTATCACAACTTCTAATTCAAGTGGATATATTATGGCGCACATTAAAGGGTCACTGCAAAGCAACGGAACACAGGATAAAGTGTTTGATTGGTTGTTTAACTATATCGTAGTTCTTATTAGAGTCCTTGTTAAATTAAATGTTATCGGTACAACTGTACTTAAACTGAATGTCGGGCTCCCCACAGGGCTCGAAAATTATCTATCTAGATTTGATTAAGGTCTTTGTTAAATGACTGTAAAAATGCCGTGCGCCCCTCAAGGCTTGATTATCCATTATTGATCAGTACCTATGTCAATGATATTGCTGGTAATTCGAAGCATGCTGCTTTAGCTTTAAGCATATGGAATAATCAGGAAGATATAATCACAACATCTGTATTTACTTCCAATATCGTCAATGATGAAACTGAAGTTAATGTGATAGATTAGAATCTAAGTCAACAACTGGGAGCTGTACGTTATACTAGAACTGGTTTACCAAAGTACACTTCATTATTCTCCATTCCCAATCTGCCGGTGGGTGTTCCGGGTTAGATAGACACCAAGCAACAAATGTTGCCGTAAGATAAGATTGTTTGTTGTTTACGCCGCACTCAACACTATTACAGCTATATGACGGCGGTTTGTAAATAATCGAATCTGGACCAGACAATCCACTTTTTTGCATGTTGACAATGTGGATACGATAACATGTAAGTCAGCGAGCCTGACCACCCGATCCTACTAGTGACCTCTTACGATAATCATGGGTTACTGGAGATCAGTCCTAACTAGCATCTTCACGGGTGACTAAAATTATGATTGAGTTTCCATGTGACCTGGCCACTTTGGTGTCACCGTGACCCGACGAAGTAAATAGTTGTCCATGATGCCAACCATCATGCTACGCCTTTCCCATTCCTGACCTTACAGTCCACACTGGATGACGCTGGAAGATTACTGTCTATGGCGTTAATTGGCATACATCAACTTGCTCTGTTACCAAGCATGTTGGAACCATCGGGGGTAAGAAGGAAACAACAAAACGAATATGTCTTTAATAAAATGACAACTATCAAGTTCGATTGTGAACATTGTCAAAAAAATTCACGTATCATCACTCCCCTATTTTCCGCTTTAAGTGTCACCATTATCATTTCCCAAAAATCTATAATAATTTGGACTACACTGTTAACTAACCAAAGGGACGTTAATTTGGTGCTACAGCTCAGTAGTTATATTTATATGGAAATAAAAAGTACAAAATGATACCAATAAACATTCAGATACTGAAATAGCACATTAAATTACTTGTTTCGTTTTGGTTCGATCAATGATGATATGGTTTGATGCGATCTATGGAAAAAACAAAATCAATCCAACATAATACTTCCTCCAACGTCAACACTATCGTTATTACAGAAGTGATCTGATCGGTGTGCTATATTTATAGTTGATAATGTGCTCGTTAATATACACTCGCAGCTTAATGTTCATATCTGATTGTGCATTCAGTTGTCCTAATGATGTGTATATAAACAAAAAAGTGTCGATTCCTTCTTAAGCTTAAGGAATATCTTTTGGTTTTGTGTGGTTTTAATATTAGTTCAGTATCAATATTGTTGGGTAACCATCGAAAAGCATTTTATTTCAACGGCAGTGGTTGCTAACAAGTTTGGGTCTATTTTTTATTGACAAATTTGTTTTTTTAAAATCCTGGTGAAGAGGTCATTTTGAAGATAAGTTTCTGACGAGAAACAATTTTCAGAAACTTAGGGACCGGTCATGTATTGGAGTATTGAGTGTCGGGCAGAGATGTTTGATGTACTAATGTGCTCAAAATAATTACCCTCACCTTATGCTTGTCATATTATGCTCATGACCCTCCCCGAATAGACAAACTGCAAAAGAACTTTATATTATATTACAATAGGTCCTTAAATCCATGACCCTTATATATTTGTGTGTTGGTCTTTATGACAGTTCCTAGACTGGTCATACCTACAATGACCACCTATACATTCAATACATTAATACACCAAGTAGATTGTCAGGCAAAAGAAAAAGTATACCCTTGAAAGTTGGTTTTGACCAAAAACCTACAAATATGATCAAAACGTTACTAGGCTGAAAACGATAGCCGAAACACTGAAAATGTATCGTCCCAAACACAACTATGATACCCCTATTTAATACATCCTCATTGAAAACCATTTTTGTTTGTTTCATTTTTAGCCACTATCAAACATGGTCGTGTACTTTCTTTTTCCCGGCTTTTGATGTCAACCTCAAGGCCAGGTATGCGAGGCACTAAAGCTAGTGTACACAAGTCAGATCTCATATCTATTCTATTACATTTCTGTTTGATATGGAAAAACAAATATAAATATATGGCAAATACTCCATGTAAGTCATCTGGCGCGCTTACAGGAACATGTACTGAGGGTAAAATCAGATTTCGACAAGAATCCGTCTGTATACACGTCACAAGCAACTTTGATGGACGCCATCTAGCCGTCGATGTCGTAAAAGCCTACTTGGTCTATCAATGACAGGAAATACAAGTTGATTCCAACACATTAGGATTGACGAAACATAATGACAAGATTCTCCTAAAATACAGGCATTACAAAAAACTACAACATATTATAGATATTTTAACAGTGTTATGTTCGTAGTTATTTGGTTCCAAAAAGTGATACAGGATATAGCTGTGGGTGGCTTGTCATAAATACTTAGTATAAATGAAACGTAGTCTCAGACTAAGACACATCACACCAGTACAGAAAATTAAATATTGTCAATGCTACAAAAGAAGTTAATTGGTATCGCTGCTGGGCAACAAGTGTTTAAGAATAGTGTTTAGTTGCTATCCGCGCATGCGGAAGTAGAAAAAAAAAGGATCCCGTCTCTTCAATAAAGCTCTTTTGCATTGACGTATGAAGATAAATGCGATTGAAAGTAGAGTCGCACTCCGGACAAACGGTGAGCGTCGTTGAATGAGGCTAGTGTTAATGATGTCGAAAGTTATTGTACACTGTGGGCTTACAGACGGACCAATTCGTAAGAAAAACAAAACAAACCATAACGCTGAACAACACAAATAAGCTCAGTTCTTGTAAATGGAAATTATACTTGTCGACAAGAGACGACAAAATGGATCTGATGGTCAGGTTCAGTGATTGTCTTGATTGCGTGTTGTCGTACCCCGATGGCGTGGCACGTTATTCATAATGTTGATCACTGGTTGGTCTGGTTCAACCCCACGCCACAGCTGAAATATTGTCGAGTGGGGTGTTAAACAGTAACCAATCTTGCAGTGGTATCTAGCCCAAACAAGACTTTTGCTGTAATGGTTGAAACACGTTGTCTGTCTAATAGGTGAAAAATAAATGTAAATGACACATGACCTGGTAACATTCCTCGTAATGTAATGAGAATACAGAAAAGTATTATCGGCGCTGACAAGCCAAGGGATCATCTGTTCGTTTGGACATTATTGTGACAGTTTTCTCAACGTTACGTCAGCGGATTTGTTTGTTTTTTTAATTTCGAGGCGTCGATGAGCAAACAAATGAGTTTAAAAAACAAATGCAATTAAACATATCGGAGATAGCTTCGTCTGACAAATCCTTTGCGTAAGACTCCATGCCCCGTCGACGTGAAGAGACGCAGAACATATCTGATCGCAAATACGTCCAACTTCCGAAATGGATATATCTTTTTATGAAATTGATTAACTCAGATGTATTTCAAAAAGAACTAACTTTGATATTTTATTGGCACGAATATGTGTTCTGTCCGCCCTGTCTAAAGCTGGAGTATGTCACGTAGCTACTGGCCATTATATCTCCGACATATTACGGAAATATGGCGTCACATGACGTTATTAAAAAACTAGCCTCCTGTCTGTCCGAAACGTTCATCTTAGCGACTCGAGAACGCAGTCGGTTCAATATTAGAAAAAAACCCATCAAGTCGTACACTACCGTTTTCACTTAAGGTTTTCTTCATTATGAAATGTCTGGATTAGCGCATATTATACGTAGATATTTCACACAGGAACTGTCTGTAAAGTTCACAACATTTGCAAATGGAATACATTTCATTTTATTCGTTTCGAGCAGAGTCATTTCTCTTGGATGAATTTGCAACACTTGCTTGTTATCTGAACACGTGTACTGTTTACAGGGCGGTTTGGACTGATGGATGCTCATTGTATAGTGAAGCTCCTCAGACTATAGGGTCCTCAGGGGAATTGTAACAGGCCACACCAAGAATCCATAATTAAGTTACTGGCCGCTCAAAAACTCACGTGTTATTTAACAATCTCACTGTTGCGTTTATCGTTATATAAGTAGTTTTTACATAAGCATACGCAGTAGGATATTTTTGCACACCTCCAGTTTGACATAATATTTGTTCTAAATTTTGGTTTGGCAGTCTAGGATGCTGTTTGTGAGTATTTTTGGTTTGTTTATGATGTTGTTTAGAATTTCTAAATGTCCATGTGAATCTTCATTAAATAGCTATAATCTCGATGAAGACATATAACCGATGATAAAAGGTGCAATGTTTTTGAAACAAGACACCCCCACGCATGCTCACAAAAGGCAAATGTCTTCACGTCAATTTTGGACTAACATAGTGCTTAAAGCGGCGTAAAATACAATTCACTCACTTTGTATCAGTACTCATTCATAAAATAGTCTGTATCGAAACGTCTGGATGAACCTGCTATCAAAAGACATTCTGGAGAGATCCTCTGTCCAAAAATGTGAGAGATGCTACAGTCTTACCAACAATGGGATCCACGTCAGCTGCACGAGCAGAACGAGCGATATTATCATCCATGACGTATTTTCTGGCGGCCGTTGATGACGCAACAACTGTGAAACACCTTCTTCTACAGGAATACGTGTTTTCTTCATCCTGTCAGCTAAATCCGGCTTGTGCAACAGTACGAAAATGAAAATACTTGAAAACGTTGATAAAAGTATATTAAGAAATCCAAATATCAAAAACGAAATAAAATAACACTGTCGACGACCGGAAGATGGCGTAAGAACTATCCATGAGTCACAAGTCGTGTTTCCTTTCATAATTTCAGGACCCAGTCCTATGACGGGTAACGTGGCTATGGCCAGGGTCACCGTGTAGATCAACATAAGTATAATGCCAACGTTTTCACGGCAGTCATCAGAGTTCTTGCAACTGTGGCACGGACATAATGTCTGGTGGCGATCTATACACATGTAGGTGACCAGCGCCATGGACGATAAGGTACACCAAGTTGACGTCACCTGATAACACTCACACGTTCCTTTTCCCCCATACCAACTCCCATAGAAGTAGGAAACTAATCCAAGAGGCGCTGGCACGAGCGCTGAAAATATAAACGTCACACACAAAGCGGTTACAAGTTTGTCGCACACAGTTCTTTCCCCTGGTCTCTTCCACCACAAAATCACCAACAGGGGGAGGAGGTTCTCTATCAACAATGCCACTTCCAGAATGATTGTGATGATGCCTGATACGTGGACATCTTGGAAAGTCAAATTCCTCCTGTTGGTAGGCGACGTGGGAGGTGCGCGGAGTGGAATATTCTGATCCATCCTCTCCTGAAACAAAACCAAATCAGATTCATGATCATTCCTTTCAGTAATGAAAAAATACTGTTTCTTATAAAAAAAATTATTTAGTTATTTTCTCAGTAGGCAGAAAACATATTTGCAAACATTTAAAGATAGTTTGGGCAAGGAAAGATAACTCTGCGTAATGAATTATTCTTCGTCCTGATAATTGAAACTGATCACACGTAATGTAATGATACTCTTCCTATTATTTTCCATGGATTCTCAGATACTTTAGTATTGACGATTATGCTGTGCTCTTGTGGAGAATGTTATATGACAAAACAGGACAATTGTTCCTGCTAATCACCACAGTGGATAAAGCACATGCTCAAAACCTGTGAAGTGCGTTTGCCAAATTAAAATCAGAACAATCTTGAATAATTGATATTCCAAATTGTTTATTTATGGCAAACTGAGAGGTCATAGGCCCATTGTTCTAAGACTATAATTCATATTAAAACCTGATAGTTCAACCAGATAAACCTACACGTTATCGATCGCCATGAAAGAAAGTTAAAGAAAGAAATGAAGTTTAACACGATCAGAAACATTCTCGATCTTTTCATGGCTTTTTATGCAAACAACGCAAATATCTACTGAGACAAGCTTCTGATGTACACGATTTCTGAATTGACATTCTTCGATTTAAAGGCCATATAATTCACTCGTATCATGTCTTGCTGCATGGACGTCCAGACCACCCGAAGGACAACCGTTCCTGGAAGTGATGTCACGAGGTCGGACTGATAACACTCTTAGGTAGGGCATTGAAACGCAAGACTGGCGCAAGGGACCGCATCAAGGCTTCTCTGAAGTACTCGCATTCCCAGAATGAAATTGTGTGATAAATTTGCGGATGAATAGAAAGCCACTATTGCCCTCACTTTAGTGATAGAGGTGGTGATTACGACATAAATTCCCCGCAATTCATATGCAACTGGTGTCAGAATGTGCCCCTCAGGAACCATGCACATAACAGAATCAGTCATCAATCAGTTATACTTCATCGATCCTGCAGCCCGGAAAAGCATTCATATCAGGCCTGTAATTGAACCCGTCACTTGTATTCTTCATTGATCAACGGGTCTTTTTCCTCCTGCTCTAATCTACATTTGGATCTTTTGCATTGACAAGTGACATCTTGGTCCTGCAAGTTACAGCTTAGATATACAACAAATATATATTATTACTTTGTATTATATTATATACGAGGTATGTGCGACACTTGACGTGAGCGATCATATACGACCTTCAGCACACAGAGTGCATGGCTTGGGTTATTTGTTATTCTTTATGTTGAAGCTACCAACGATAGATCCCAAACACATCCTCCTTGCCACAACGGCCGACTGAACTGGGGATCAGATGTCCTATCTTGATACTGGGGGGGGGGGGGGGGGATACTGGCCCTGAAATGTCGCTCCGCTTTCCGTGATTGCGGCTGAGTATGTTCATAATAACTGAGCGTGATTCTTGCAGTTGTAAGCATGTTTCATAACCATGCGTACGCCAATAAGACAGGGGATGTAGATGGACTGAGAGATTGACTTGGAATGGCGATGGACTGAGAGATATGCAGGGAATGTAGATGGACTGATATATTGGCAGGGAATGTCGATGGACTGAGAGATATGCATGGAATGTAGATGGACTGAGAGATTGACGGAATATAGATGGACTGAGAGATTGACAGGGAATGTAGATGGACTGAGATATTGGCAGGGAATGTAGATGGACTGAGAGATTGGCAGGGAATGTAGCTGGACTGTAAGATTGGCAGGGAATGTCGATGGACTGAGAGATATGCAGGGAATGGCGATGGACTGATAGATTGGCAGGGAATGTCGATGGACTGAGAGATATGCATGGAATGTAGATGGACTGAGAGATTGACGGAATATAGATGGACTGAGAGATTGACAGGGTATGTAGATGGACTGAGATATTGGCAGGGAATGTAGATGGACTGAGAGATTGGCAGGGAATGTAGATGGACTGTAAGATTGACAGGGAATGTAGATGGACTGAGAGATTGACAGGGAATGTAGATGGACTGAGAGATTGACAGGGAATGTAGATGGACTGAGAGATTGATAGGGAATGTCGATGGACTGTAAGATTGACAGGGAATGTAGATGGACTAAGAGTAGATGGACTGATAGTTTGGCAGGGAATGTCGATGGACTGAGAGATATGCAGGAAATGTCGATGGACTGAAAGATGGACAGGGGAAGTAGATGGACTGAGCGATTGGCAGGGAATGTAGATTGACTGAGAAATTAGAAGGTGGTGTGAATTCTCTTTCTTCAAGACAAAACCGCCAATTCATTTTTAAGAAATATATACTGAACCGCAAAAGAAATGTCCCCATGGATAGATATATGAGAAACCTTATTTGTCCAAACACTGTAAACACACGTTGAGACATATTAAAAAGATGAAACTTGGCAAAACTGATCATCAAGGATGACTTTAAGTGTCAAATGTTCTTAAAGTGAAACACAACACTCGTCTCTGAGGAAATGGCATCACAAGTCAGTATCTCGTGTGTCTGCCATGTGCATTGATGAATGCCGTGCAACGTCGATACATCGAATGGCCATAGGCACTTGAGCCCACTCTCTGAGGGACGCCTGACGCAGTTCAGCTGCAGTAGTCGGCCTTGGTCAGGCGTCATTCAGCCGTCTTTGAATCTCGTCCCACAGGTGCTCAGTGGGATGTAAATCGGGACTGAGGGCAGGCCACTACATGGTCGTGGTTGCGGCGACGTGCCAAATGAGGTATGGCGTGTGGTCTCAAGACTTGATCAATGTACCGAGCTGCTGTGACACCATTGCCTCTCCATGGACCGATGTTTTGGAAGACCACAGGGCCGACCCTCTGTGAAAGACCAATTCCACCCAACACCATGATGTTCGGACCAGCCCACGAGTCGCTCTTAACAACACAAGCATCCGAATAACGTTCTCCACGGCGTCGCCAGACTCTCTCTCTGTGCCATCTGCTGTAGAGATACAGTAACGGCTCTCGTCTGAGAAGAGGACTCTTCTCCATTGCTGGTGGCGCCAAACACTGGTGCTGTGTTGCCCACTGAAGACGGTCCCGGCGATGACGTGGTGTCAGAATGGGTCCTCGGTGTGGCCTCTGACAGTGGAGGTGTCTGCTCGTCAATCGTCGACGCACCGTATCCGCACTAATGTGTCGCTGGTGTGTCCCCATGGTCTGTCGAGCAGTTTCCGCAGCAGTAACAAAGCGATCTTGAAGATGCTGTCGCTCAATCTGACAATCCTGACGTCAGGTGGTGACCCATGGTCTTCCACTACGTGGTCGGTCATCTTCAGTGTTTGTGGTCTGGAACCGTTGCTGGAGCCTGTATATGGTCCTTACGCGGACTTGAAATGCATAGGCTACTTGCCGGGCGGTTTGTCCAGCTTGCAATCTTACAAGGGCTTGGTGTCGTTGATTTCTTGTCAATCTTGGCTTGTGGTAGCAAGTCAGTAACGAATGAATGTTTTTCGATCTGTGTGGATTTTTATAGGGGGAACGCATGTGCAATTCAATTTGCACGGAACTCACGTGCATCGGGTTACCATGGCCGTTACCGTGATGCGTTTGGGCGATCGGTTTTATTGTCAAATGCTTTTATTTTTTTATATCATCAAATTTCATTTTCCGGACAAGGTAATGGTACATTTTGGAAACTTTGACAATAATTACCCAGATATTTAAATGACAACTTTTCATGCAGTGTTACTTGGGGTGAGGTTTCTTTTGCGGTTCAGTATAGCACGTTTTTCGTATTTATTGGAAACCAATTTCACTGAGTAAAATGTTTGTGGACACGGAAGTAGAGAAAAAAGCATGCTTATATTTAGTTTCAGTCATCAATCAGTGTCATATTTCTTTGCACTTTACGTTCGTTCCCGTTCTCAGACAGACATATGCCAGAGGTTTAACATTTTGCTGCAATTGTTTTATAGACTGAGACAGTCCCTAGTACTTCATGTTTTCAACAAATATACCAATTAATGGACACATATTTGGCTAACAAACGGAAATTGTTTACCGATTTTTTTGCCAACATCTTTGTAATTAAAGTGTAATTTTTTTTCCAAATAAGCTGTGCCTACGCCTGGTCCAGTCAAGCACTATTCGGGCACATTATTACTAAAAAACACTACTACTACTACTACTACTACTACTACTACTACTACTACTACTACTACTGCCAATTTCTTTAAATTCGCATTTACAGTTCTATACGGTATAACATGTGTTTAGAATGGACACACATACATGTTTAGATCCAAATATGTTAAGCTGTTCAATAAAATCCCAAACATGTTTAGATACTATACATGTTTAAACCCTAAACGCGTCAAACATAATTGGACAAGGAACGCGCTTAGGTTTGTGTTTAGGATATAATATTTGTACAGTTCATAGGTAAACAGACAATAACGGTTTATACATCACTATTTCTACATTACAAACGCAGCAGCGTTGATCAAATTTGGAAAGAAATCTTCTGCGCAAGTTGACAAATACATATCGAGCCATTTCTGAAAATACATCTTTCCAAAATGTATTTGTATTGTTGGAATATAGCGGATATCACACGAGTGTGTTTTGGGATAGTAAATATCCTGTATTAGAAAATAACCATTGTACTCAGCAAGCCTTGGCGAGCAAAAATACATAGTGTCTATTCCTGATACAGGATATTACCACCCCTAAATACACAAGCTAAGCTCTTTATCATAAAATGTCATTCTTCAATTCTGTGCTCGAAAATCTCTTCCCATCTCTCACAAACATTACCTAAACATTGCAGGTTTCCCAGGAATGTGCGCATTAATATATATTACGTAAGAGGGTAAGTGATGTGTCAGTCGGACAGTGACAGAAGCCAATATAGTTCCAACTGAAACCTGTTTCTTATATAGTGGCGTAACTACATAAATGCAAAACAACAACTGCCTACA